CATAAGCTGAGTGGAGAAGCCAACTATAATTTTTATTTGCAAAAAGATAAAGAACCCAAAGGTGGCACCATCAGCTGAAATAAAAGTTGATAGAGAACGATCATCTCTACTTGAAGACGAATGAGAGGTTGTCATAAAAAATAGAATTTTATTTCTCACCTAATTAACAACAATAAGAACATGTTAATTTTATGATACTCTCTCCATAGTAACATTGTTTATTCACCATTTGACTGTAGGCGTACCTTAAGATGATTTCATTTAAATACATTTATAGATTTGCAAAATTAGGTGCCATTTCAACTTATTTTAATCCATTATTGCACATAAAAGAGGCAATAGAGGAAGAAAATAAAGACAGTACCTCAAAATGAGATAGAAAGACGGAAAGACAGAAGGAAGACAGAAGAAAAAAGGCAAAAAGACAGGGAAAGAACACTGACCTAAGAGCATTGAATCTGCTGTCTGTTGGCAGTTCCCTGCTGGCTCGGGTTGCCTTGGTTGAATCATTGTATACCAGATCTCAACATGATCCTCCTGGTTAAAGACTTGGGACAGGAGAAATCAGAACGTACACACACACACACACACACACACACACACACACCACTTTGAAATCTTGAAATCTTCTCACGCTAATGTATTTCCATTTCCACATCATCTATCCTCTAGTCTACCCTGTAACATAATATACTGTGCCAGATATCTTTCTGCCAGGTGCCTTTGAGACACGCCAGTGGAGGAGCTGGTAAGGAAACAGATGCCTTGGTTAATCTGAAGTGAGGATTCTGTGTGTAAAAGGACAGACACTGAAACAGTCCATCACTGTGACTGTAACAACATCATCGTGAAGGTACTTCATCAGCTAAAGAATGTTGTAGATACTCCTTACACTGTGTGAGGATGTGTCACTGTGAATAGTTTATAAAGACCTGAAAGGCAAGTAGCTAGGCAGAAATATGCAGGGCAGTACTTCTGAGTACAGAGATGTCTCAGGGAAGAGGAAAGGCAATAGCATGAGCTTGACGCAGAGGAAGCAGGACATGCAGGAGGGAGAAAGGTCATGGGCCATGTGACAGCACTTAGATTAATAGAAATGTGTGAATTTAACGTATAAGATCTAGTTATAAACAAGCCTAAGCTAAGATCAAACTTTCATAATGAAGAAAAAGTCTCTTTGTTGTGTGTTGTTTTTCATTTTTTGTTTTTTTTGTTTTTGTTGTGAGCAGGCAGCCCTTTGCAGGTCCGGTGGCAGCCAGACCATAAATTATTTCTCTGGACCAGAGTGGAAGCAGGGGAATAAAGGCACAACTCATATGACTTTATCAGCAGGGAGATTCTCCGTGATCCCTCAGGAAATCCTGAGTTCATGTCTGAAAATTTTCTCCTCATTTATTCTCCAAGCAACCTTTATACCAAAATGAAAACTGAGGGGGAAATTCATTAGCATTCTGTTTCCTATGCCTGCTCTGTCAAGTCCTCCTGGTCAGTATGCTAGCTCAGTCAGGTAGGCTTGAATCAGCATCTCTATTCAAGCATCCTCCAAAATACAGAGAAGGAGCAAAACAACATCCTGACCCTTTGTTAGTTAACAACAGCCTGTCTGAAAGGTATGTGACCACTTCAAGTACGAACTATGGCTTGAGAGCCTGGTTGCCATATCATGTAAAAATATAGGCCTTCAAAGCCCAAAGAAAAATCAATTACAAAGAGGAGAGACAAAATGTAGACAGACATACTCACTATCCATCCCAAGACAGCAAGGGCAACCACATGACCAGATGATGACCAAGAACACAGTGAGACTGGTTGTGCCATAACCTTCCCTTTATTGAAAGTTTTCCTACGAGTTATTCTGGAGGAAGAATCAGAATAAACTTTCCAGTGATGCATAGCAGAGAAGCACTTTCTTATGAAACATGTACTGAATATGGAAATGAGGTAAACAACATCAAGGAAAAGTCTGCTGATTGGTTCAAACCTTGGAGGCCTGACATATAAAAGGTCCAGAATGCAAGAACTCTCCGTATTGTAGAAAACTCCCTTGTTGACAGGAACTGTCCAATCACTGCTGACACCATGGCCAGCTCCTGCTGCTCTCCTTGCTGCCTGCCTTCCTGCTGCAGTACTGTCTGCTGTAAGCCAGTGTGTGTGACCAGCTGCTGCTGTCCACTCTGCTGCCAGCCCAGCTGCTGTGAAACTACCTGCTGCAAGACCACCTGCTGTAAGCCAACCTGTGTGACCAACTGCTGCCAGCCCTGCTGCAAGCCCAGCTGCTGTGAAACCACCTGCTGCAAGACCACCTGCTGTAAGCCAACCTGTGTGACCAGCTGCTGCTGTCCACCTTGCTGCCAGCCCAGCTGCTGTGAAACCACCTGCTGGAAGACCACCTGCTGTAAGCCAACCTGTGTGAACAGCTGCTGCTGTCCACCCTGCTGCCAGCCCAGCTGCTGTGAAACCACCTGCTGCAAGACCACCTGCTGTAAGCC